GTTTTGTTTAAGCACAGCTGCAACTAAAGTCAACAGTAGCTGCACTTGTAACGTGTAGTGTTAAGTTCTCGGAAAATCAGGTTGCAGTTGTCAAGCTGGGCACTCAGTTTACCGGGCACATGCAACCTTAATCTCTCCATGTCTCATCTCTCCATTTATAAATGATATATAAAAGCCTCCCATCCCACAGATATTTGTGAAACAAAAAAAACCCTTAATGGTTGTGAAGGATTCAGATATTAGGTAATAAACACCATTGGAAAGTTCATGATAAAATCCATGCTATGTTCAAAACAGGGTTTGAAAAGTGGGTCATAGCTTAGACTCTTTTAACAGGCAGAAAAGTATAGTATGGGACTGATAATTAAATACAACATTTTAACATGTAGGTAACAAGGTAACCCACAGGGAACTTTAATTCTGTCCCTTAAATCACAGCAATACCCACACAAGCCAGTTTTAGGCCCTTGGCAGATTATCAGAGTTAAAGATGCAGTGGGATCTGACTAGCAATCCTAAGAATTGCACCTCCTACCATGTTACATAATGGCAGAAGGCACAACTGTAGAATCGTGGATCAGATCCAAATTACACTGTACTGCTCACGCAGGTGGATCAGCACTCACAGCCTCAGAGGTACTTCAGAATCAAGACCTCCGAGGTTGGGAACCCCAATCAGGTGATTGCCCCGGCTATACATTCAATTTAAGGCATGACAGGAACCAGCCACAAAGATATTGTGCATAGTTTGTGTAATAACTGTGTGGCTCATTTCCTGTTTGATTTCACCATTAATTGTATAAATATTAAATATGTGGCTGGGTTACTGCATAAGATATGATTAACTAGTTAATCACATCTTAAATGTGCGATCTGTCACAGGCCTCAGATTCATTGCACAGACCTTCCTGTCTCTTGCAGGTTCTCATAGTTCAAATGAAGAGCCATTTGATTCTGTATGAAAAGAGCTACTAATTAAGTGGGTGATTAATAGAATGAGATGGATCTTACACTTTTTCTTACATTTCTCTGTTCTAAATAGTTTCTCATCTACCAGAACTTTTCAGATCAATCCATTCCTACTGTACTCCATGACCACCTAAGGTATGAATAGAGGTTGCATTTGTTCTGGGAGAAAGCCTTTTATGTACACGTACATGTCCACCGGCCTGCTTCCAAGTCACAGAATCATAGAAAATGAGGGTTGTATGGGACCTCAGAAGGTCATCTTGTCCAACCCCCTGCCAAAAGCAGGACCAGCCCCAATCAGATCATTCTAGCCAGAGCTTTACCTCTTGGGTCTTGAAAACCTCTAAGGATGGAGATTCCACATCCTCTCTGAGTAACCTGTTCCAGTGCGTTACTACCCTCCTAGTGAGATAGTTTTTCCTAATATCTATCCTAAACTTCCCTTGCTGCAACTTGAGACTATTGCTCCATGGTCTCTTATCTGAGAACGATCTAACTCCATCCTCTTTGGAACCACCTCTCAAGCAGTTGAAAGCTGCTATTTCATCCCCTCCAGTCATCTCTTCTCCATACTAAATAAGCACAGTTCCCTCAGCCTCTTCTCATAAGTCATGTACCCTAGCCCCTAATCCATTTTCACTGCCATCTGCTGGACTCTCTCCAATTTCTCCACATTCTTTCGGTACTAGGGGCCCAAAACCGGCCACAATACTCCAGATGTGGCCTCACCAGTGATGAATACAGGGCAAGAATCACTTCTGTCACTCTGCTGGCAATACTCCTACTAATGCAGCCCAGTATGCCGTTAGCCTTCTTGGCAACAAGAGCACACTGTTGGCTCATATTCAGCTTATTTCCCACTATAATTCCCAGTCCTTTTCTGCAGAGTTGCTGCTTGGCCAATCGGTCCCCAGCCTGTACTTGTGCATAGGATTGTTCCATCCTAAGTGCAGGAGTCTGCACTCTTCTTTATTGAACCTCATGAGATTTCTTTCAGTCAAATCCTCAAATTTGTTGAACTCTCTGAATTTTTGTTCTACCCTTCAGCATATCTGCTACTCCCCCCAGTTTGATGTTCTCTGCAAACCTGCAGCCCATCATTAATGAAAATATTGAAAAAAACCAGGCCCAGGACTGACCCCTGGGGCAGTCCACCTGACACTGGCTGCCAACTAAATATCAAGGCATTGATTACTACCCCTTGAGCCCAATGATCCAGCCAGTTTTCTATCCACCTTCCAGTCCATTCATCTAGCCCGTACTTCCTTGGCTTCCTTGCCAGAATGTTGTGGGAGACCTTATCAAAAGCCTTGCTAAAGTCAAGATATATCATGTCCACTGCTCTCCCCAGATCCACAGAGCCAGTCATCCTGTCATAGAGGGCAATCAGATTGATCAGGCATGACTTCCCCTTGGTGAATCCAGGCTGACTATTCCGAATCACCACCTTCTCCTCCAAGTGCTTAGAAACGGAGTCCTCTTGCTCCATGATTTTTCCAGGGACTGAGGTGAGGCTGACTGGTCTGTAGTTCCTCCTTTTTCCGTTTCTTAAAGATGGGCACTATACTTGCCCTTTTTCAATCATCCAGGACCTCTCCATCACCACAAGGTTTCAAAGATTACGGCCAGCACCTCTGCAAACACATCAGTCAACTCCCTCAGCATCCTTGGGTGCATCGCGTCTGGCCCCATGGACTTGTGTATGTGCAGCTTTTCTAAATAGTCCCTAAGCTATTCCTTTGCCACTGTTGGCTGCCCACCTGCACCCCAAACTGTGCTGCCGCAGTCTGGGAGCTGACCTTGCCTGTGAAAACTGAGGTAAAACAAGACACTTAGTACTTCTGCCTTTTCCACATCATCTGTCACTACACTGCCTCCCCCCATTAGTAAGGGATCCACACTTTCTATGATCTTCCTCTTCTTGCTGACATACCTATAGATATCCTTCTGGTTACCCTTCCCATCCCTTGCTACCTGCAACTCCAATTGCGCTCTCAACTTCTTGGTTTCATCCCCATATATTCCAGCAATACTCTTAATACTCCTCCCTAATCGTTTGTCCAAGTTTCCACTTCTCGTCTCCACTCCTTTTTGTTTTAGCTCATTGAAGAGTTCCCTGCTGAGCCAAACTGATCTCCTGTCATACTTGGGGGTCCTGCCTAAATAGTGGTGGACATTTGTAGTGTAGTAGCACCTTTAGAGCATCTTGCTGTTTTCGCTACGCACCCCTCCCTCCACCACTGCTGAGTGGTTGATAGGCTAAAATCACAGTATTAATGTATTAATTAATTGCCGCTCGGCCACTCGGCAGCAGGGGGGGAGGAGGTGGTGTCAGGCAAAAAGATCAAGATTAAAGGCACCGCTGCACCGCAAACATCTGCCACAATTTAGACAGGTCTCTAGCCATACTTGCTGATTTTGGATTTTGCCTGATTTTGGATTTTGCATATCAGGATGATTCGTTCCTACGCCCTGTGCTCCTTTCCCCTCTCAGACTGGCCTCCTCAGGGATCCTGCCCATCAGTTCCTTGAGGAAGTGAAAGTCTGCTTTTATGAAGTCCAGGGTCCATGCTCTGCTGCTCTCCATCCTTCCTTCCCTCAAGATCCTGAACTCAGTCATCTTGTGATCACTGCTGCCAAGCTGCCATCCATTTTTATGTTCCCTACCAATTCTTCCCTGTTTGTGAGCATCAGCTCAAGAAGAGCATGGCCCCTTGTTGGCTGCTCCAGCACTTGCACCAAGAGGCTGTCCCCAGCACTCTCCAAAACCTTCCTGGACTGCCTGCACATGGTTGTATTGCCCTCCCAGCACATGTCAGGGTGACTGAAGTTCCCCATAAGAATCAGAGCCTGTGACCAGGAAACTTCTGCTAGCTGTTTGAAGAAAGCCTCCTTCACTTCATCCTCCTGAAATATACTGGATAAAATGTACTAATATTTTTTTCCTGGCACATCTTGTTTTACACCTGTAGGGTCGTTGTGCTTCATTCTGGAGACAAGCCTGTGAGGCTGTTTGCTCTCACTGACCACCGATTAGTGAAGGAGCAACAATGCAGCTTGGAAGGACAATGTGTGTAAAAGGTTGTGCTGCTCCTGTTTTGATCCAGGGCAAACCATGAGACAATCAGTCCTGGGTCAAATGAGACACATATCTACAGCCCACATATCCTAACTAGTCTTCTATGGCTTGGATTTCTCATTGTTCACATTTCCTCATTTTTGTAATAAACTCCAAAAATTGTAACAAACTGGTGAAATAAAAAATGTGTTTACAGAAGCCATACTGGTTTTCCTTTTTGTATCATATTATTTCCAACTATTTTTCCTCATAACGAAGGAAAAAGTTTACAAAGCTAATTTATCTTATCGCCTTTTTTCAATATCTCTAGGTTTTTTTACCCTCCAACCCTTCTATGTATCATTGATAATTTTAATAAGGATGTGCATATTTGTTAGAGGCACACTTATTTCATTCTTATCTTCCCTTTGGATCATTCAGAAGTAAGCTGTAATACACTTGTGTCTCGTTGCTCTTGAAATTATTAAGTATTTTACCATTTCTTGTTTTGATAACTCAATTCTAACATTTTCATTACCTAAGCTGAGTAATTCTGTTGGCAGAATTATCCCATTGCTAAACTGACCCAAAGGTATCTTCATGCCTTTGCAGCCACTCCTTATACCCCACTGGCAATCCAGCAGCCAAATTTATTCTATCACAGGGTTCCCAGTTCCATTAAAACACCTCTTGTTTTTAAGGATATGAAGAGAATACCGTATGGTTACTTTATCATTCTTGACGATTATGACAGACAGTCTGCTTGCCATAATTGGATTGAGGCTCGTCATTACCCTCTACCCAAAGGCTCTTCACTATTTAACAGCAGAAACTACTATGCTGGTTTAAAATTAAATAGAAAGTAGCTGGTTTCAGTCAAAAACAACAAGCACAGTTCAGCGTGATGAGAATTCTTACAATCCTAATCTTTGGTAAAAGAAAAGCACATTTCCAGGTATTAGCCATTACTCACCCTTCTGTGATAAGCTCTTCTTCATTTCTTGTCCACCTGATAACTGGAGTTGGAAATCCTGCAGCGGCACATGGCAAAACGGCACTCTGCCCAGTAACTCTGATAAGTGAAGAGGGTTGCCTCAGAAACACCAAGTCTGATGGAAACTCTGGATCTGCAAACATTTATTATGAGTTAGTGACAATGACCAAATAGCAGATGAAGAAATGAAATATGACGCACCAAAGGCTGAGTTTAAAAAAATGTTCAAAAGAGTGAAAAGGCCAGTTATTTCTCTGACTCTTTATCCTAATACAATAATAAAATGAAGCTCTAAAGTCAAGAAGGCATTTCTACAGGAGTGTAATTTGTTTTACACCTGTAAACTGAGTTTCTGCAAGGAGCTCAAAAGGCTCAAACTAACCGTCTGTTCCTCACAGCTCTCTCTAGATAGGTCAGTTGTCTGCTCTGCTGGAGTTCCACTTCTACAAGAGCAACCTGGAACAACCATGAGTACAGTACCTAAAAAAAAGTCAGACTTCACCACCTTTTGTCACGACCCAGACCACAAGCCTCTTTGGTGGAAATTCCAATTATGAAAAAGGAATTACTCTTTCAACTGGATGTTCTCCCGGTCTGGAATTAAAGGGTCTATGGAGCAAAAGTATAAACCTGCAAGGCTGGCTTATGATAACTAACTTGAGTTAATCAGTCTTTCCCACGCCACTAAACCTGAGACACAGACTCTATTGGCAGCATTTGAAGTATCGCCATCAACTATTCTGTACTACTTTGGAAAACTGTGTATAGTGTGTTGTCACATGGCTGCCTGTCAAAAGCTGAAGATAGCTACCAATTCCCCTTTTGCTTTGGGAAATGAAATCCCTGCAGCAGAATCAATCCTGAGCCGAGGGAAACAGTCAATTTGGCAGACTTACATGCTTCATCAATGCAAGCTTTATGCTAAACAAGGAGAGAGCCTTTCCTCTTTTCTTAGGTTGCTTGTAGAAGCAAAGAGCATCAACAAGTTCTCAGGATTAGTTTGTTTAAGCAAGTTGGAATGAAAACAAGTAAGCTACAAAGCAAGTTTGTCTGTTCTTTTACAATAAGCAATTATTATCAAAAGACGACCACTTAGCCCAAGAGCCAGAATAGATAGCGTGTCCAAAGCCTGGAAGACTGAGCAACAGTTCCCTTTGCACTGAGCTGTAGTACCAAGACAAAAAGATTCAAGACACATGGGCTTTTTTCTGCCCCCTGGAAAACACTCAATGACCCAGTACTGTACATAATCCTAGTAAAAGAAAACTAATACTACCCAAAGGGAAATCTTCCTCACAAATGGTGCCCTTTTAACCCCTTACTGGAAAAATCTCAGTATCCTCAGGCTGGAATAGGATGGGGTACACTCTTGTATCAGAGTAATTTTTAAGACATTTAGATGCTAGCAGCATTTCTTCCATATCAGGAACAAGCCCTCTCCTATTAACACTAACTGTTCAAAGACCAAACATTAAGGAGTACTTCTGTGTGGGGGTATATGCTCATCACTACATAGTCACTGCTTTGTGGTGTATATGTGCTTCTGTCTCACCCACTATGAAGGAAGCAGCTAAGGCCACTAACAAACAGCCATTTAAAGGCACAATGGGATCTGATCCCCAATCCCACAATCGTCTCTCTGGCCATGCCATACATGCATGCCAGGATGCGAGATCTTGGAATCAATTTTCAATCACACCCTACTTGCCAGTTCAGGAAAAATCCAGGATCATGATACCAAGCTACCCTTGCACTAGCAAGCATAGGACCGCACTGGGGCTCTCACAGGCCCTGGAGCAGTCCCCAGAGCCAGCAGACAATCAACTGATTGTCAGCTAGATTGGGACTGCACTGGGGTCCAACCTGCCCTGGAGTGGTCCCCAGACCTGGCTGACAATCAGCTGATTCCAGGTGCAGGGACCACACACCTGGGCAGGTTGGAGAGCCCTGTGCAATCCTAACCCAGCCACACACTGAATTTAAGGCACAACAGAAACCAGCCACAGAATTATTACACATATTTTGTAGAACAATTTTGTGGCCTATTTCCTTTTTTACTGCGCCATTAATTGCCTGAACATGCAGATAAGTTACTATTTAAGATGCAACTAATTTATCACATCTTAAGTGTAACATCTGCCAGGGGCCCAACTAATAGAATCCTTGCAATCAGACAAGTCCTCAGATCTAATCACATGTTAGGTATAGTAATGTTTAATGCTCAGTTCTCAGGTTAATACTAATATGCTAACGCTTAAGGCCGAGGTTAATGCTAATATTAATAACAGAGCCATCCAAGTAGGTGGCCATCCTACTGGACTACAAAGAACCCTAGCAAACTCTCCATTGATCCATTTCTAGTTCTGGTGATGAGAAAGCCTACATGACTTAGGATGGAACAATACTATGCACCGGCAAAAGTTACAGTGGACAGTTAGCTGAATATAAGCCAACAGTGTGCCCTTGTTGCGAAGAAGGTTAACAGCATAATGGGCTGCAGTAGTAGGAGCATTTCCAGCAGATCAGGGGAAGTGATTATTCCCTCTGTTCAGCACTGGTGAGGCCATATGTGAAGCAGTGTGTCCAGTTCCAGTTGTGCCTCCCCCCCTGAAAGTGTGTAAACAAATTGGAGAGAGTCCAGCAGCCGGCAGAGAAAAAGGATCAGGGGCTGTGGCACATGACTTATGAGGAGAGGCTTAGGGAACTGGGCTTATTTAGTATGGAGAGGAAAAGACAGGGGCAGGCGGGCGCAAGTTGTGGGATTTAATAGCAGCCTTCAGATACCCGAAGGGGGAAATGGAGCTGGACTGTTCTCAGTGGTAGCAAGACTCAGCTAGGCAAAGCCTTGACTGGGATGATCCTACTTTGGGCAAGGGGTTGGACTAGATGTGACCTCCTGAGATATATTTTAACCCTAATTTTCTATGGTTCTCTAGAGAGAGAGAGGAAAGTAACCACGCCGTAAGGAAACCAAGCACAAAAGAAACAGAGCAGTTCTACCTAGAATTTAGAAAATCTGGGACTAGAATTCAAGTCCTTCCTCCTGTAAAATAAGCTGAGCTCAAAAAACCAATGCCTTGCAGGCTGGAAAGTGGTAGGAAGGCTGAGGACTTTAAGGCAAGTTCTACGTGTCAAGGATAGCTTTGGAGCCAAACAAAAAGCAGCAGCAGACCACCCACTTGTACGCGTGGGGGAGTAAGATGCTCACTGGTTTTAAAAACAAGCAGAATCTACAACATTTTCAACCAGAAAGTTTGCTACATCAATCCTAATGCTACGTGCACAAACTGGTAGAGGATTAAATAGATTAGCTGAACATCTGTAAGTTGGTTTATTCTCAACTGATGTTTCTTTTGCAACATTCACTGAAACTGAAATATAAGCTTGCAACTTTTGGATCTCAAACTGGTAGTTTGTAATGCAGAAATAAAGGAGATATTGCATTAGATTTCATTTCATTTTAGATCCTCCCTTCACGAAAAAGATAGTATAGGCAGTCTTATCAAATCAGGAAATACTGGCACCTTTACACATGTACCTTATCCATACCGGGATTTATTTATGCAGCCACCCGTTTTAGTTTGGCTAAATTCATTTTTAGCTGAGAATTTATAAATGTGACATAATAGGTGGGTTTCCATGGCTGGAGATGGAGTACAGAACTGACCATAACTAACATTCTCAAGTTATTTAAAAGCTTTGTGAAGGTACTGCAATTCAAAAGATAGGAGTACTTCCTAGGGTGAGCAATTAAGAAGTAATATATATTTTTTCTGTATAAAATGACACAGCAATGCATTTCTGACAACATCTAGTCATGCAGATGAAATTAAATTTATGAAGAAATCTGCACCTCTGCCATTAAACATGAAATAAAACTGTTTAAAGCCATAAGTAAAAATGCTTCAACAATGCGCACGGTGGCTGGTGACAGATTGACATTCCTCGTTTAATTCAGAACTGGTTTGGTACCAGTCAAGACACAGATGTGTTTAATTGGTTTGATTTTCTGTTTCAGCTGATTGTTGGACTATCTGGAAGATCACTTGGGACTGGTGTGGGTATAGGATGCACGGTGCTTATAAATATTCTATGGGCATTGGGGAGCTTAAGTTCTCCAGACCAGGTGTGAGGCAGAGACCTACAGGGTACAATGCAATGGACTGAAAAAAAAATTATGTACATATTTCATTCAAGTTCCCCTCAAACTAAGCAACTGATTACTTGTTCAGCTGACACGCAGGAAGAAAGACTAATTTTCTACAGGACAATCTGATTTCACTCGGGAAGTCTGAAGTTCTCCCTTTCTGCAGACCCAAAACTCTCCTTCCAAAAGCACTTTCAGACTTTCTCAGCCAAGAAATAAAGAAAAGCCATCAGGTGCAGTCTCTAAAATGCACATCTTTTGCAAGAATATACTACAACCAAGGAAATAAATTTCAGAGCCAGCTGAACTCAGAGGTCAGCACATAAACAAGAATACTTCTGAAAAACCCTTAATCATCACAAACCTAGAAGTCACAAGAATGCATCTCAAAGCACTTCAGCATGTACAAAGAGCTTCTAAGAGCTACGTGCAGCAAGCTCTAAAAGAAGCAATAAGGATAGGCAGTTTTTTCAAAAGATTTTAATCTTCTGGTAACATCCCCCCACTGACATAGTGCTTCCCCAATACAGGGCAACACTACCCAGAAACTGCTTTAAAGATAGAGGTGTCAAACTGATCTTATCCCATAGGACCAGATAAGGGTCACTGGGCTAGTCTGTGGGCCGAATTGGGATCAACCACCTGTGCATACAGCATGTGTCAGCCCTGCTCTGGGACTTGTGCTACATGCGGCGTGTGTGCTGGCTCTGCATGCAGCACAGGAGACTGGTTCGGGGTATGCACTACACAAGACGCCTTAGTAGACCACCCCTCCACGCTGACTCCAAAGCCACTCAGGATCAGGCTGCAGGGGAGCCAAGAACAGGGCCAGTCCAGCAGGGCACCCCGAACTCCATGCTGCATGCAGTGCCAGGTCCAGGCCCCATGCTGCATGCAGAACGAGCCCCAGAGCCAGTGCATGCTGCATGTGCTGCATGTAGCAGAGGGGGCCAGGACAGGGTGTGTGCTGCACATGGTGCCTTGCC